GCCATTAATAACCTCTATATACAGACATTCAGCAAAAATTTTCCCCTCGAGATGAGCGCTTAACAGCCCCTGCGTGCGGGTTGGCAACAATTCAGTGGAAGAATGCTCTTGCAGCAAGTCGGCGCTAGGCTGCGCCGTGGTCAAAAATGGGTGTCGTAAATCCAAAACCGAAAAACGTATAAAGTATCCGAAAAATGCAAAGAGTTAGTCGCCAAGGGGATCCGATCCAAGAACCTTCTTCGCGAGAGCCCACCGCACTATCCACTCCGCCATCCGCCGACCGCGAAACAGCGGTTGCGAGAATCGTTCAAGTAACTTCGGTATTACTCCCCTCCGTCCACTTTCTTATTGGCTTTACTTTGCTATCTTTTCAATACATAGTGAAGGGACACCTCATGAATTATGCACTGTCAAAGTTACAGCTACAACAGAGCCCATTAACACGGTTAAAATCGCGATTTCTCGTCAAATTGTTTTCACTCAGTTTTTGACCTACCCAGAAACGCATAGCAAAAATGAAACCCATTTTTGTGATCCTTATATGGACCCCTACAACATGCAACAAACATTTCCGAAAAGCGCGCCACGACCTGAAAGACCTCCCTTGTCAGTTGCCTTTGACAACGCCATATCGTCGGGTTTTACCGAGCTTTTATTGATCGATTTGCTGGGTTGCTGGCTTAGGCAGGTTATAATTGTATTGGTTTTTCAAGCAGTCTATCGACCAACTGTTTATTTTTTCCTTCAGTGCTTTACGTGGCTCGTACCCCTCGAAATAGCCAGAAAGTTCTCCAAAGGTCATGCTCGGGGTGAGGGTTGAAGGAGGAAGATCTTCATGAGGCGTCCACTTTTTGTCGTGGCAACTTCTACCCCTCCGTGCGAAAAATCTTGTTGTTGTTTCTGCAGTTGATTCGGAACTTTGCCGATAGGGTACATCTGATTGTGGAAGTGGCGCTCCAATTCTTGGCTACGTATCGCTGGGGAAATCCCGCCCATTGTGAGGTCGAAGTAGAACGTGTGTGCGAATCCTTCAGGTTCAGCATTCTACATAGAATTGGAGGAGGTTTGCAAAAGGCACCATACCTTGTTCAGCGTCGACTCTGCCCTCGTAAGAAAGGTTTCACATCGAGACCCAGGAATGGAATGGAACGAGTAGGGTGAGAAGGCTGGCTGAGTTTATCACTCTCAACCTTGGAGCTGGGAATTTCTCGGTGAGTAATTTCATAAAGGGATTAACTGCAACAGTCTTGACTTGAAGTTTCCTACTATTTGAGGTCGCTGTTGTTACTAAGTTCTGCGCGGGTTCGACCACTGTCGTCTTGATGCAAAATTTCGCGAGAAGAGCCGCAAACTTTAAGAAGCGAAACCTCGAGAATGTCGTCAGTCGAGATCACTACACTTCTTTCACGTGACTTTGGGGAGACGCTGCTATCGACAACATGTGCGAGGAGTATTAGCAGTTTTTCCGAAATCTCCAACCCTGCATCAAAGAAGCAGGAATTCCCGAGATTACTAAGAAAGGTTTGTCTCAGGAAACTCGAGCTCATTCGCTAACGCGGAGCAGACGCCGCAAGGAACTACCAGCGGAACTCCGAGCCTGCGGAGCAGTGCGTAGATAGGATAGAATATGACCTCAACGACAGAATAGCAGCAGTGATCGTTAAGCAGTAGAGCCTGGGGAAGCATCCGCAA